GCAAAGACCTGATAATCTTTATCTGCCTTTGCAAAAATGGCCACTCTGGCCTGAGGAGGTGCCCATGAAAGAGGTTGTACTGCCAAGGAAGCAAATCCAGTTCCTGATGGCTCTCCCCAGCTCAGGGCTGATTATGTTTGTGCTCCAGGCGTTGTTTGGTACCAGCTGTCTGGCACCGCCTCCTCTCCCTGGCCTACAGCTCCCATGGCATCAGACACTGAGTCACCACAGCTGTGCTGATGCTCCTCTCCTCCAATGTTCCTGGAAATTCTCCGGGAATGGGCACCTGAGTGTGCCTGGGATGGAGCAGCCAGGGCAGGGACTGAGCTTCCTGTGGGTGCTGCTCAGCCCGGAGAGGCCCCTGACCTTCGGGGAGGTGCTTGGGCTCCCCCAGTCTGATGGGCTGCTATCTTCCAGACCTTGACACAGACGTGGCCACCATGCAGGAGGTCAGAGAGGCTGTGCTGGCCCTGTGGCTGCCCACAGACTCTGCCACAGTCCTGAAGAGGATGAGTGGGATCCAGGCCATTGCAGCCAGGCTCCCCAACGTGGGCCTGGTGCTGTCCCAGACCAAGCAGGACATCGCCTGGGCTCACAGGCTCCAGGATGAGGCTGAGAAGGCCAGGTATGGCTCTGGGCCCTGAACTGCCTGCCCAGGATTGGGCCTGCGTTTTGCTCCCCAACTCCTCTGCTTGATGGAAGAGGGAGAGGAGCCTCTGCAGGTCAGGGGGGTGGGGGTACCGAGGGCTGGGGGACAGAAAGGGGGCTCACACAGTGTCCAGGTAGTCCTGTCTTCCATATTGGAAACCAGGCCCAAAGGGAGTCTCAAACATAACACATTTGTCGTGTCTGCTCAGTGGGGTCCTGGGATGGAAATACTGCTGAGTTAATATTCCTTTTGTTGTCTCCACTGGAAAGGATCTTCTAGCCTGTTGAGCGAGTTGAGCCACCCAACTATCCATTTGTTATTCACTCCTCTCTCCTCTCTCTCCTGCTCTGTGGCTCCAGGAGCCGAGCCCAGGCAGTGGAGGGCCAGGTGGAGGATGTGGTGGGGAACCTGCGGCAGGGCACCGTGGCGCTGCAGGAGGCCCAGGACACCATGCAGGGCACCCGCCGTTCCCTTCAGCTTATGCAGGACAGGGTTGCTGAGGTGAGGCTTTATGGCTTCCGTCCCCCATATTTGGGAATGAACAGACAGATTTAGGCACAAGGCATAGAAAATGCCAGAAAGCAACTTGGACGGTACCTGAACTGGGACCCTAAAGAAGGAAGGTTATAAGCGTTGGGACTGGCTTTGAGCTTTTGTTTTTCTGGTCTCAGGGCCGGGTGCAGAAGGCAGGGGCAGGTGCTGAGCTGCAGTGGGGTGGGGGTCAGCTCAGCTGCTGGGGAAGGAGGAGGCCTGGATGCGAGGGCACAGAGGGGATAGGGAAGGGGCAATAGCGAGGACCTGGCTGGAGAGAGTTTTGGCTGCCTGAGGCGCTGGAGAAAAGAAGGATGACAGCTACTGCTTATGAGACCCACCACAAACCCCCAGCCCCCCTCTTTCCACAAAGGTTCAGCAGGTCCTGGGGCCAGCGGAAAGACTGGTGAGCAGCATGAAGGAGCAGCTGGGTGACTTACGAGCTCGGACGGAGGCGCTCCGGAGCCAGGCAGGGCAGCAGCGAGCGCAGGCAGCCCGGGCCCAGCAGCTCGCAGAGGGCGCCAGCCAGCAGGCACTGAGTGCCCAGGAGGTACAGAGAGGGCAGAGGCCATCCTGGAAGCACAGCGTGGGGGGCTGGGCAGGACACTTTATAAAACCATGGGCTCAAAGGCAACTAGAGCAACAGCTGTTCTAGAATAACCAGATGGGGCTTCAGGATTCACCCAAACCTGGCCAAATCCGAAACTACGTCTGGTTGCTTTTGGGGGGTAACTGGTTCAAGCGTGTTGGAAATGATCTAGTCCAATCCCGCTCCTTTTACAGATGAAGTGGTAACTTTGATAGGCCCACGGGTCTCTTGACACCCAGGCCAAAGCTTGTCCCCTCTCGTGGCTACCTAGCCCAGACAGACACTCGCTGCATCACTGTCTTGACCCGGGCCCATCAGTGTTAGAGTTACATCAGAGAGAAGACCAAAGTGCCATTCCCGATGTCTCCAGCATTTTTAGCAGTTTGCCAGGAATATTGGCAGTTGTGGTCCCAGCCCAGTGGCCAGGCTGCCACATATACAATTCAGGGACAACTGTGCCTGGCACTGTGGTGCAAGTGAGGTGTGAAAGGACAGGAGGCACAGATGGAGGGAGGGAAATACAGGAGTTTAAGTTACAGTTTGTGGCTTCGGGGTTTTTATAGGCAAAACCGACCCATGCAGAATATAAGGAGGCAGTTGACGTGCGGGTGGATTTGGGTAATACCACATGCTTCCACAAAGGTTTTGAGGACTTTGGATGGTGATGATGGCAACACTGAGACTGTCCTATAATTTTCAGGGATTTGAGAGAATAAAGAAAAAATATGCAGAATTGAAGGACCAGTTGGGGCAGAGCCCCATGCTGGGTGAGCAGGGCAGCCGGATCCTGAGCATCAAGACGGAGGCAGAGGAACTGTTTGGGGAGACCATGGAGATGATGGACAGGATGAAAGGTGAGGGGATGGCCCAGGGGCTCGGACTCCTGGGCGCTCCCGAAGGCTGAGCCCAGCCTGGGTCTTCTGCGACCCCCTCTTGCTGGAGCTAGCAGTGCTGAGGGGGTGAGACCAGTCGGGATTTGCTGAACACCTGGTAAGGAGGAGGCATAGTGATGGGGCTGGGGGAAGGCAGAGATGTTCACGAGATTTGCCCTGCCCTGCAGCTTGCATTCCAGAGGGGGACATTGTTCCTATTGTTCACAAGAGGCATTAAGCTGTATTTAACAAGGGGTCTGTGATAGAAACCGAAATAACAAGACCTCTAGGGGTTCAGGTGATAATGTCAGAGAAAAGGTGAAGTTAAGAAGGGTTAAGGTTTGATGTGGGCCTGGCAGGATGCACAGGCCTGGGTGAGGCTGTGAGGAAGAGGAGGGGCATCAAGACGAGGTGGGTGGGAAGGAACAAGGCATGTGGAGGGCAGGGGCAGGTGCATCCCACAGGAGAGGAGGGCTGGGGAGGACAGAACAGGTGGGAGGGAGGCAGCATGGGGTCAACGCGGCGGGTCCAGGGGGCCGCCTCCACGTCTGGGGGAGGAGGGCAGACTCTGCCCTGGAGGCAGCAGGGTCTTCACCCTGGCAGATGCATAATGAATGTAAGCCATCACCAAAGGGTTCCGCGCTTCCTCAGGAAGGAGAGTAGGCATTTCTGGCATTTAATTTCTAAAGACATGATGGTTGGGTCTCTGCACAAGTGTGCCCAGCAAATGCCAGGAACAGAATTTCTCTGGATTTTAGAATAAAACAGACAAGATCCATTTGACCAGCCAGGTGGACAGCACAGAGAAGGCTGGCCTGGCGAGCTGGCAGAGAGAAGACACGAGGCTGCAGCCAGCCAGACCTGAAGGGTGAAGCGAGGGGTGCAGACCGAGGGGGAGGGGCCTCGGGGCTGGGTCAGCATGTGCCCTGCCCATGTTTGTGAGTGTTTAAGAGGAAGATAGAGAACTTGCTTATCAAACACTGTGGATGACAGATGATACAACAGGTAACAGAACCTGTGTTCTATGGCAATGTCGGAAGAACTGAAAGGTTATCCTGAAAGTACAGGATGAAAGTACGTAAGGAGAAATATCTCCCACTCTGGCCTCGTTTGGGCTTAACCCTACAGGTACAGCTCAGTTGAGGCCTGGCTTCTCAGTGGCTAATGTAGCTGAAAATAGGTCATTACTGGTAAGTGATAAGCAACTATGAGTTGTTACTCACCTGAAAAAGACTCCAGACGCGTGGCTCAGTAGTGTCGTGGGTCAGCAGTACCTTGCTGCTGCCCAAAGAGCAAAAAGATATGAAAAGCAGCCACCAAAATAAGGGAAGAAATGGCTCAGGGGTGATATTAAAAACATTTAGTAACTATTCATGTTATGTGCCTACCGACCAGAAAAGGCTCAGGTTGTAACACTGGGACAGGCATTTACCTGCTTGCAGGGATTTATCCTTAATTGCGGGATGATGGGAAAGATCTCGCAGAGGGAACTTGTGGGAGTGGGGACCAGGGAATAGGACAGTGGCTGTTACATTTCAATATTTTATCCACCCATAGGTCCATAGGGGTGCTGGCTGGCTTAATAATGCCAGCCCAGTAACAACCCAGTTATACTTGGCTGCTAGGATCCCACCTGTGGAGTGGTGTTCTGTGGTGGCTGCTACATCCTCAGGAGGGACACTGACAAACCTGGACATATCACAGGGAGGGTGACCAGGGTGCGGAGGTAGGGAAGTGCTCAATAATTATATTGGATGAAGACTGGCTGAAGGAACTAGGGAGGCTTGGCCTGGAGAGGAAGCGGCCTCAGGCATTTGAAGGATCCCCACGTGGAAGAGAGAACAAATATGCTCCCATACCCTTAGGAGACAGACCTAGACAACTGGGTGGAAGCAAGAAGTGCTCAGATTCTGACTTAACGGGAAGACTTATGGGGAATGGAAAGATCCCCGGACAGGAGAGAGGAAACCTGTGTGACTTTGGGCAAGTTGCTGCTCTCTTTGCCTCATCTGTCGCCTCTGCAAACTGGGATGCTAGTATTTCACGCATATATTCTGAGGATCTAGTAACTGATGTAAAATGTGTTTTCAAAAATCAAAGGTGCCTCAGGAATACGAGTTGATATTATTAGATTTCTCAACCCTGCCAGGGAATTTGCTTGGCTGGGAGCCCAGCTCATGTGAGCTGAGGGCTTAGTCTAACAACAGTGGCTTTCTTGCTACCGTAGTGGTGCTCTTGCTCCAAACAGGCCAAAGCCCCTCATGAGTGGATGGCAGGTCAGAGATGGGCTGAAAGGGTCCGCTGAGGTCCCAGGGCTTGCCTGAAGCCACACTGGGGTCAGCGTCCCAGAGAGCCCCAGAATGGGAGGCGGGGTCAGGGGCGGGGTGGGAATTCCTTGGGGATGCAGGGAGGTGGCGCTTGGCCTGTGTGGCTGTCCTAGCACCCTATTCAGGGTCATGCTTCTCTGGTCACGTGCCTGTCTGTCCCATCAGGGTCAAGCTCCATGGGGCAGGGACCAAGTCTAATCTGATTTTCAATTTTAGCCGTTCGCAGCAGTGGATGTCTGCTAAGCCCACCCTGAGACTCGATGCACATTAAAATGAGTGTAACTCAGACCACGCCTGTGGGCACAGCCGAAGTGACACAGAATAAAGGGAGGGCCCAAGCTGGGTGGGAGTGTGCTCACTTGTGGGAAGCTTTCTGGGAAGGGGTGCGGTAAGCCTTGTTCTGGGTGTAGGGCTCTGCATTAGATGAGAGGTCGATGTCTCTAGGAGGAGGTCCTTGTGCAAACCTGCAGCTGGGGATAAGCCAACTTCAAAACTCAGCCATAATCATGGTTTGGGCCCCTGCAGTGTGTGAATCTGGCTCTGAAGGCACATAGCAATGAATGAGGCATGGCTTCTGCCTTCCAGGAATGTCCTTCCATCTGGCAAGGAGGACACTGGGGCTGGGGCCTGTGTAGGTAGCCAGTGAGGAAACCCTCTGATTGCAGAGTAAGACTCTTCACAGGAGGTGGAGTCCAGGGGAAACCTTTCAGGTAGGTGGGTGCCCCCAGGTCAATACCGGTAAAATCTATAGAAGTGAACAGGGTGAAATGGTGGGGAGGATGCCATCTCTGTACTTCTGGCTTTACTCTGACCCAGAACTGGGTGGTAAAATTCTTGTGAATTGATTGTTTCATTTCATCCCTTCAGGTTGAGGACTGTTATTGCCATTTCATAGACCAGGAAACTGAGCCCAGAGAAGCCATCTGACCTGTCCCAGATTGCTTGAATAGTAAAAGAAGCCTGGGTCTGGACACCTTTCAATCATTCACTTACTCTACAAATACAGAGTGCCTCTCAGAGTCAGACGCTGTGCTAGGGCCTGGGGAGAGAGTCGTGGATGAAACCTGGGTGCTGCCATCGTGGAGCTTTGTCCTGGTGGGGTAACAGACAAAACACCAGAAAAATGAATGTCTTGCCAATGGGTTTCAGACCCAGGCAAGTTCACAATGTGACCAAAGAAATGAGAGTAGAACCTTCTTGGGGTGAAAGGGTTATATCCAACTTTATTTCCACAGTGGCAGGTTAGTCACTATAATCCCATCCACTCAGAGCAAGTCTGCACACAGCAAACCAGTCTCTGCCTCTGGGCCCCTCTACCAGCACAGCCATCCTCTGGGCCTCTCTGCCCACACAGCTCTGCCTGCAGCCTTGCCGCCATGCCGCCATGCCATGATATCGCCCAGAGCCCTGGCAGGGCTCTTTTATATACAGTCAGTAATGATGCATTGCCCACAAGTGTGTAGTGAGCTAGCCAACCAGGGCCAGGTGAGAATCCTGGCCACAGGAACCTTCACTTTATCCACAATGAGTAAAGCGTTTGGCATGTGAGAAGTGATGCATGCTAGGGGGAAAGATAAAGCAGAGGAGAGGAGGGATGGCCTAGGGTGGAGGCTGCGATTCTAGATTGGATGGCCAGGGCCCACCTCTGTGAGAAGATGGCATTTGAGCAAAGACCTGATAATCTTTATCTGCCTTTGCAAAAATGGCCACTCTGGCCTGAGGAGGTGCCCATGAAAGAGGTTGTACTGCCAAGGAAGCAAATCCAGTTCCTGATGGCTCTCCCCAGCTCAGGGCTGATTATGTTTGTGCTCCAGGCGTTGTTTGGTACCAGCTGTCTGGCACCGCCTCCTCTCCCCCGCCTACAGCTCCCGTGGCATCAGACACTGAGTTAGCACAGCTGTGCTGACGCTCCTCCTCCTCCAGCGTTCCCGGAAGTTCTCCGGGAATGGGCACCTGAGTGTGCCCGGGACGCAGCAGCCAGGGCAGGGACTGAGCTTCCCGTGGGTGCTGCTCGGCCCGGAGAGGCCCCTGACCTTCGGGGAGGTGGCTGGGCTCCCCCAGTCTGATGGGCTGCTATCTTCCAGACCCTGACACAGATGCGGCCACCATCCAGGAGGTCAGCGAGGCTGTGCTGGCCCTGTGGCTGCCCACAGACTCTGCCACGGTCCTGAAGAAGATGAGTGAGATCCAGGCCATTGCAGCCAGGCTCCCCAACGTGGACCTGGTGCTGTCCCAGACCAAGCAGGACATCGCCCGGGCTCGCCGGCTCCAGGATGAGGCTGAGAAGGCCAGGTGTGGCTCTGGGCTCTGAACGCCCTGCCCAGGATTGGGCCTGCGTTTTGCTCCCCAACTCCTCTGCTTGATGGAAGAGGGAGAGGAGCCTCTGCAGGTCAGGGGGGTGGGGGTACCGAGGGCTGGGGGACAGAAAGGGGGCTCACACAGTGTCCAGGTAGTCCTGTCTTCCATATTGGAAACCAGGCCCAAAGGGAGTCTCAAACATAACACATTTGTCGTGTCTGCTCAGTGGGGTCCTGGGATGGAAATACTGCTGAGTTAATATTCCTTTTGTTGTCTCCACTGGAAAGGATCTTCTAGCCTGTTGAGCGAGTTGAGCCACCCAACTATCCATTTGTTATTCACTCCTCTCTCCTCTCTCTCCTGCTCTGTGGCTCCAGGAGCCGAGCCCAGGCAGTGGAGGGCCAGGTGGAGGATGTGGTGGGGAACCTGCGGCAGGGCACCGTGGCGCTGCAGGAGGCCCAGGACACCATGCAGGGCACCCGCCGTTCCCTTCAGCTTATGCAGGACAGGGTTGCTGAGGTGAGGCTTTATGGCTTCCGTCCCCCATATTTGGGAATGAACAGACAGATTTAGGCACAAGGCATAGAAAATGCCAGAAAGCCACTTGGACGGTACCTGAACTGGGACCCTAAAGAAGGAAGGTTATAAGCGTTGGGACTGGCTTTGAGCTTTTGTTTTTCTGGTCTCAGGGCCGGGTGCAGAAGGCAGGGGCAGGTGCTGAGCTGCAGTGGGGTGGGGGTCAGCTCAGCTGCTGGGGAAGGAGGAGGCCTGGATGCGAGGGGACAGAGGGGATAGGGAAGGGGCAATAGCGAGGACCTGGCTGGAGAGAGTTTTGGCTGCCTGAGGCGCTGGAGAAAAGAAGGATGACAGCTACTGCTTATGAGACCCACCACAAACCCCCAGCCCCCCTCTTTCCACAAAGGTTCAGCAGGTCCTGGGGCCAGCGGAAAGACTGGTGAGCAGCATGAAGGAGCAGCTGGGTGACTTACGAGCTCGGACGGAGGCGCTCCGGAGCCAGGCAGGGCAGCAGCGAGCGCAGGCAGCCCGGGCCCAGCAGCTCGCAGAGGGCGCCAGCCAGCAGGCACTGAGTGCCCAGGAGGTACAGAGAGGGCAGAGGCCATCCTGGAAGCACAGCGTGGGGGCCTGGGCAGGACACTTTATAAAACCATGGGCTCAAAGGCAACTAGAGCAACAGCTGTTCTAGAATAACCAGATGGGGCTTCAGGATTCACCCAAACCTGGCCAAATCCGAAACTACGTCTGGTTGCTTTTGGGGGGTAACTGGTTCAAGCGTGTTGGAAATGATCTAGTCCAATCCCGCTCCTTTTACAGATGAAGTGGTAACTTTGTCAGGCCCATGGGTCTCTTGACACCCAGGCCAAAGCCTGTCCCCTCTCGTGGCTACCTAGCCCAGACAGACACTCGCTGCATCACTGTCTTGACCCGGGCCCATTGGTGTTAGAGTTACATCAGAGGGAAGACCAAGGTGCCATTCCCGATGTCTCCAGCATTTTTAGCAGTTTGCCAGGAACTTTGGCAGTTGTGGTCCCAGCACAGTGGCCAGGCTGCCACATATACAATTCAGGGACAACTGTGCCTGGCACTGTGCTGCAAGTGAGGTGTGAAAGGACAGGAGGCGCAGATGGAGGGAGGGAAATACAGGAGCTTAAGTTACAGTTTGTGGCCTAGGGGTTTTTATAAGCAAAACCAACCCATGCAGAATATAAGGAGGCAGTTGACGTGCGGGTGGATTTGGGTAATACCACATGCTTCCACAAAGGTTTTGAGGACTTTGGATGGTGATGATGGCAACACAGAGACTGTCCTATAATTTTCAGGGATTTGAAAGAATAAAAAAAAATATGCAGAATTGAAGGACCAGTTGGGGCAGAGCCCCATGCTGGGTGAGCAGGGCAGCCGGATCCTGAGTATCAAGACGGAGGCAGAGGAACTGTTTGGGGAGACCATGGAGATGATGGACAGGATGAAAGGTGAGGGGATGGCCCAGGGGCTCGGACTCCTGGGCGCTCCCGAAGGCTGAGCCCAGCCTGGGTCTTCTGCGACCCCCTCTTGCTGGAGCTAGCAGTGCAGAGGGGGTGAGACCAGTCGGGATTTGCTGAACACCTGGTAAGGAGGAGGCATAGTGATGGGGCTGGGGGAAGGCAGAGATGTTCACGAGATTTGCCCTGCCCTGCAGCTTGCATTCCAGAGGGGGACATTGTTCCTATTGTTCACAAGAGGCATTAAGCTGTATTTAACAAGGGGTCTGTGATAGAAACCGAAATAACAAGACCTCTAGGGGTTCAGGTGATAATGTCAGAGAAAAGGTGAAGTTCAGAAGGGATAAGGTTTGATGTGGGCCTGGCAGGATGCACAGGCCTGGGTGAGGCTGTGAGGAAGAGGAGGGGCATCAAGACGAGGTGGGTGGGAAGGAACAAGGCATGTAGAGGGCGGGGGCAGGTGCATCCCACAGGAGAGGAGGGCTGGGGAGGACAGAACAGGTGGGAGGGAGGCAGCATGGGGTCAACGCGGCGGGTCCAGGGGGCCGCCTCCACGTCTGGGGGAGGAGGGCAGACTCTGCCCTGGAGGCAGCAGGGTCTTCACCCTGGCAGATGCATAATGAATGTAAGCCATCACCAAAGGGTTCCGCGCTTCCTCAGGAAGGAGAGTAGGCATTTCTGGGATCCACATTTATTTTCTAAAGACATGATGGTTGGGTCTCTGCACTAGTGTGCCCAGCGAATGCCAGGAACAGAATTTCTCTGAATTTTAGAAAAAAACAGACAAAGATCCATTTGACTAGCCAGGTGGATAGCACAGAGAAGGTTGGCCCGGCGAGCTGGCAGAGAGAAGACACGAGGCTGCGGCCAGCCAGACCTGAAGGGTGAAGCGAGGGGTGCAGACTGAGGGGGAGGGGGCTCAGGGCTGGGTCAGCATGTGCCCTGCCCGTGTTCGTGAGTGTTTAAGAGGAAGATAAAGAACGTGCTTATCAAACTCTGTGGATGACAGATGATACAATAGGTAACAGAACCGGTGTTCTATGGCAATGTCGGAAGAACTGAAAGGCTATCCTGAAAGGACAGGATGGAAGTACGTAAGGAGAAATATCTCCCACCCTGGCTCGTTTGGGCATAATCCTACAGGCACAGCTCAGTTGAGGCCTGGCTTCTCAGTGGCTAATGTAGCTGAAAATAGGTCATTACTGGTAAGTGATAAGCAACTATGAGTTGTTACTCACCTGAAAAAGACTCCAGACGCGTGGCTCAGTAGTGTCGTGGGTCAGCAGTACCTTGCTGCTGCCCAAAGAGCAAAAAGATATGAAAAGCAGCCACCAAAATAAGGGAAGAAATGGCTCAGGGGTGATATTAAAAACATTTAGTAACTATTCATGTTATGTGCCTACTGACCAGAAAAGGCTCAGGTTGTAGCACTGGGACAGGCATTTACCTGCTTGCAGGGATTTATCCTTAATTGCGGGATGATGGGAAAGATCTCGCAGAGGGAACTTGTGGGAGTGGGGACCAGGGAATAGGACAGTGGCTGTTACATTTCAATATTTTATCCACCCATAGGTCCATAGGGGTGCTGGCTGGCTTAATAATGCCAGCCCAGTAACAACCCAGTTATACTTGGCTGCTAGGATCCCACCTGTGGAGTGGTGTTCTGTGGTGGCTGCTACATCCTCAGGAGGGACACTGACAAACCTGGACATATCACAGGGAGGGTGACCAGGGTGCGGAGGTAGGGAAGGGCTCAATAATTATATTGGATGAAGACTGGCTGAAGGAACTAGGGAGGCTTGGCCTGGAGAGGAAGCGGCCTCAGGCATTTGAAGGATCCCCACGTGGAAGAGAGAACAAATACGCTCCCATACCCTTAGGAGACAGACCTAGACAACTGGGTGGAAGCAAGAAGTGCTCAGATTCTGACTTAACGGGAAGACTTCCCTAACAACTAGAGCTGCCTGAAGGTGGAGCCCTGGGAGGCAGTGCGCTCCCTGCTTATTCCTGGAAACGTCAGGGCTGGGGCTGGGAGCTCCTGTGAATATGACGGACGAGACCCCCGCCCAGCCTGACAGGACAGACAGACTGGGCTAGTTCACTTCAGAGAACTTCAGATTCTCCCTGCGTACTCTGGCGGTGGCATGCCGAGGGGAGAGGCGCCTGAGAGGCCAGACAGCCCTGGAGGTGGTTTCTCCTGCAGGGGCTGCCTCTAGGTGGGCAGGAGGAGAGGAAAAAGTCGGGGGTCTGTGGGTTCCTCACTAGCAGCTCCTCCACCCTGCGGTTTCATCTGTCCTCAGACATGGAGTTGGAGCTGCTTCAGGGGAGCCAGGCCGTCATGCTTCGCTCAGCGGACCTGTCAGGGCTGGAGAAATACGTGGAGAAGATTCGCAACCACATCAACGGGCGCGTGCTCTACTATGCCACCTGCAAGTGATGCTCTGGCTTCCAGCCCCTGGCCCCAATCATCTGCCCTCTGTGCTTTTGGGGGGCAGACTGGATTGGAATACTTTCCAGCTCCAGGAGACTTTTATGCAGCCTAAAGCACAGCCTGGCCAACCCCTGGTGTGCACCTATTGAGATCATTCTGGGCTGCAGCTGAGCCTGAGCTGATGGGACCCAGCTGGTGGAGGCGGGCTGTGTCATGGGGGGGAAGCTTGGCTGGGCAGTAGTGTTCCTGCCCTTCATCCTCCACTGAGGCTGAATCCTGGATCCACACAAACTCTTAACAGAAAATGATATACAAGTGAAAAGCCCAATAAACATCTGTGGAAAGAACCCTGGAGGTTCAAAGAGGGAAAATGGTCTGTCTCCCCATTAAATAAAGCTTCGTCACTTGTTTCTGTCTCCCATTTGGGGTTCCTGGGTGCTCTTCTGCCCATGTTCAAGGCTTAGAACTGTATGAAGCCATAGGCCTGCCTCACTCGCAGTCCAGCCTGCTGACCTCCCAAACTTAGGGAGACTGGACCCCTTTGCCCCAGGGCCTGATGCGTCCATCCTTGAGAAACCAGAGGAGCCATTTTCATCTGTCAACAGTGATCCCACTTCTCATTTACACACGAGGAGGTAGACGCCCAGGGAAGGAAAGTAATATGTCCAAAGTTCACACAGCTTCTTGAGGCAGAGCTCAGACCAGAATCTGTGTCTTCTGGGATCTCAAAGGGAAGTAAAGGAAAGTGTATTTGTGTGTGTATGTGGGGGGGTGGTGGGCGAATATGGAAACGGCATGACTGTGTGATAACCGTGGCTCAGGCACACACTGTGCTAGGACTTCATTTACATTAACTTCTTGATTGATAATCATGTTAGTTACTGAGCACACTGTGCTGGACACGCCGTCTATGTCATCTCAGGATGTCCGTGGTGTTGGTGGTCCCATGTGACAAGTGGGGAAACCAAGGCCCTTAGGCTGAGTCACTCCCCCAAGGCCACAGATGTGGTAAGGCAGAGCAGAGCTGGGCCTCAGATTCACGTTCATCTAGTACTGTCATTAGGACAAAGGACTCTGAAGCCAACTGCCTGGACTCCAACAGACCCCACCCGAGGGGCTGCCGAGGAGCTGATGCGTCAGCAGGTGTAACTCCTGGCCCTGGGTGCCTGGCCCCATAGGCTCCCAGTCCACATCAGCTGCATAGGCTCAGAAGTCCCTGAACTGCTTGCTTTTGCCTTTGAGAAGAAAAAAGTGAAGCCTCATAGAGAAAAATATGTACATTTTATTAAGCATGACACCGAACATGAGGTTGGAGGGGGCAAGAAAACTGGGGAGGGGGAAGGGACAAGAATAATGTGCCTGATTTTTGTGGACAGAAGGGAGCAGAAGCGGGATTGGAATCACTGGCTGAAATTAAACCAGTCAACTTCCAGCTTTTACTAGATTGGGTGTGTGTGGAGGGCATCTGGCCAGGATAATAACTCCTTACAGTACCTAGGATTTCTTTCTTTGTCATGTTGGAGGCTGGGTGCTGTTTTTGGACGGGGGCAGGGAGGGAGGTGGTTCGGAAGTGTGCTGGCAGGAGGGTGGCCTGGTCTCGGTGCAGTCAGGAGCCTATCCGAGTTCAGCATTTGAGCTTGAGAGCCCACAGACCAGGAGCTGCCTGCCACTCATGCGGATGGGCAGGCACTGACATTCACGAGCCCTTCTGGCCACAATGAGGCCTGAGAGGCGGGAGGGAGGGTGTGCTGAGCAGGGAGTCTGGGTAGGTGGTCCACATGGCTTTGCTTGGAGAAGGTGACACAGCCTGGCCAGCCTGTTAAGCTCTTCATGACGAACAACACAGGCTTGGCAAGAGCAATCTACGTGCACTGCACTGAGCCATGGCACGCAGGGTGTGGGGCACAGGGCGGGCAGGTCAGGGGGACCTGGGAGCCTCAGATGCTGCTCCTCCTGTTGGCAGGAGAGGCCTCCACGCCCTGGGGCTCACTCCTGGGCCTTCTGAGAGCATCTGCTCCAGGCGGCAGCCGTTGGCTGCTTCTGACCAGAAACTGCTCCTGCCCGGCCTGCTCTGCTTGCTCCCTCTTCCTTCCACTGCAGAGTAGAGGCCAGGTTTGGAGGGGCAGAGAAGAGTGGAACACCTCTTCTGCAAGGCAAAGGGGTTCAGGGTGGGGGTGGGGCTGCTGCCTCTGGTACCCCTAAGACTCCGTCTTCCATACTCTGGGATGTGGCTTTCCTTCTTGGGTAGAAGCTCTCCTGACCCTCCCACCGCCAGCCCCTCCTGTCTTTAGTCCTCTCACCTGAAAACTTCAGGATGAGCTGGGGATCACATGAGGAGACACACTCCAGTTTGCCCTGCCCGGCAGTGGGAGCTGCCGCTGGCTTTGACTGGCACCATGACCTCTGATTTGTAGTTCCTGCTAAGAAAATGAAGCAGCAGGCATGAGAACTGGAGGAAGGAAGAGGGGCTGCGATGCTCCTCTGTGCCTGTGGCATCCATTCAGCCTCCCCTTTAGGAGGCTGTGCATGTACAAGCCCTTGCAGTAAATAAATACAACCATCAAGCACCCTTCCTCCTCCCCAAACACGGACACCCTGGGAACTCAAAGAGCCTAACAGTCATCACTCATGTGTACCTGGTTTTCTATGTGCACTTATAATCCCTGTTGCTTACTAAACCTTTATAGCATCTCTTGAGGCAGGTTAGGTAGATAAATGTAATTCGATCAACCCATTTTACAGAGGAACAAACTAGAAACAGAAACATTGACTGACTTGACTGTCCATGGCTGCAGAGCTAGTGAGCGGCATGGACAGGCCTGGAAGCAGTTCCCCTGCCCTCCATCCAGAGCTCTTCCCATAGAGCTGTCTCTACTCTGCTCAATTTCTTTCAGCCCCACTGCCTGAGGTCTCTCGGACCCAGGCTGAGCAGGGCCAGCCCTCTGTCTCTGGCTGTAAATACTTACTGTTTTTTGTTAGCCTTTTTGAGGAGTGTGGGCTCGGAGCAGTGGGAGGACTTCCCTTTGCTCCCAATGCTCAGGCAGCTGGAGCAGCAGCCACAGGGCCCAGCAGTCAGGGGCCCCTGCTGCATGGGCACCAGGCTGTGGCTAATGCACAGGAAGCCAGTGACCAGGCAGTTGAGGGATCTGCCACCAGGGGCGCTGGGTCGGAGGATGTGCTGGCAGGGCAGCCAGAACAGGGAAGGGAGCCACACACTCTGCTCCAGGGTGAGTGCTTCAGTGACGGTGATCACAGGGGAGCTGAGGCTAGAGGCTTCTGAGGCTTGCATGGCAGGTGGCCTGTTCTCCATACATGGGCAGCCCCCTGGGCTGTGCAAGTTCATGTGCAACTTCCTCATGTGATGTACCACAGCTGTTGTGTTGAAGGCTTGGTAAGGAGACACAAGACGAACCCCTAGCTGTCTCCAGCTTCAGAGGCCACAGGGCTCAAGGTTTCCCCTTGATTGTGCCCCAGAAATCTCTGTGCTTAACTCTCATCTTAGAGAAGGCCGAGTGTGTCCAAAGTTCACACAGCTTCTTGAGGCAGAGCTCAGACCAGAGAAGGTATTTCCAGTGTCTGCTGGGGAGACCCAAGGAAGCCCCTACACCAGCCCTTGCCCCAGCCCAGCCTCCAGCATCCCAGAACAGCATGCCCACCTCCTGGAGAGGACGACTTACCCTCCACTTGCTCTTGGCAAAGTTCTTCTGGAGCTGGAGGCTGACAGATGGGTAGATGTCTCGGTGGAGGGCTGTGTTCCCATCAATTCTATGGATGCACAGCAGATGCCTGGCTAGTGGGTACCTATGGGAGCCGTGGGTTGGCCTGGGGGCTGTGCATGCAGGCTGAGGTTAAGCTGAGTGGAGTGCCCCAGAAGAGTGGTCCACAGAAGGAAAGGGCTCTAGAACCAGGGCTCCTCTGTCTCCTTGGGCAGGTCAGAGGGGGACTATGCTTTGGCAAAACCAAAGACTTGCTTAGAGCAGGGTCAGCAAACTATAGCCTGTGGCCAAATCTGCCCATTGCTTGTGTAAATAATGTCTTCTTGGGACACATGCCCATTCATTCAGGAATGGGCTATGGCTGCTTCTGTTCTTCCAACTACAACTGAGTAGTTGCCATAGAGATGGTATGGCTAGCAAAGCCTGAAACACACACTATCTGGCTTTTTACAGAATATATCCCTTTTGCTCAAAACCCACCTCCTCCCGGAAGCCTTCCTGGATCAGGCCCTGGATACAGGCTGCCTTTTCCTGTACCCTCAGACTCTTATTCACTCATCTCTTAAGTGTTTCCCAGACCCTCCCCATGTGCAACGCTGCTTTCTCGGTACTACCCTTGGTGCTACCCAGAGAAGTAACAGAATGGCCCTAATCCACACGGGATTTCAGTGTAGGTATTCAGCTATGTTGCTTGCCTTGAACTAGACAAAGACATTGAACATTGTAAGACCTGTGTTCATAGAGAGAGATGGGAGGTCTGCCTGCATTGCAGGAGCCAGGGCATCTCATAAGGGCAGAGGCTGCTTGGGACCCTGCAGGATGCCACATACAAGGCAAGAGGCAGGACATGCTAGGTGGTGAAAATGACATGGCCCGACGTGTGGTTGAGAAAGAGTTTCATATATGGGGTGGAGGAAGGGAAGGAGAGAAAGATAACTTCTGGCCTTTTTGAAACAGAGAAGGTGTGTTGGGAATCCTGGGAAATGAAGTTGGAGATAAAGGGTCAGGCCCAGAAGAGGGAAAACCTGGAAACACAAAGGAATCTAGTTTGCTCTGGCAGGAAGTGGGGAGCTAGTGGGAATTCTTGAACAGGTGTGTAACATGAAGAAAGGAAGTGTTTCAAGACTTTATTTACCTACTTTGCTGATGGGTTGCTTTTGTAATTATTCACAAATCACTTCACATGGAACAGGGTTGGATCCCAGAAAAAAATGATGCTCTAAGGACAGGGCAGAGTTGTCTATTCCTGGTAAAGTGCTACGCTCTAGTCTGACAGCAGTGCCTAGTTGCATCTGCCTCCTGCACTTGACTAGGTGCCCGCCTGCCTCCCCTGGGTGAGAACCTGCTTCATTAAGTGCTGTTTGCATCTCCAGCTGGACCTGATAAACATTGCTGAACTCCTTGCATGCTGCAACAGGAAAGAGCTCGGGGCAAACACCACGTGAACGAGTCGGCACGGGATCTGGGGAGCCACATGGCTAGCGTCTGGAGCCCACCCCATTCCTCACTCACCAGGGGTGCCTCAAGGCCTTCTCACAGGTGTACCGCTCATTTGGGTCCTTCTCCAGCAAGTGGCAAATAAAATCCTTGGCTAAGGGGAGCAATCAAAGACACAACAACTAAGGAGCAGATTTCCCGACTCATAGAAATTCACTTCCGGGCTGGTGGGTGGCCGTGAATGCATCTTTAGCTAATCTTCCAAAGAGGCAATTTTAAGAGTCTTAAAAGAGGAAAAAAAAAACCAAGCCACCTAACAACCCACCATAAACTGCCAAAAAGAGGCTCTACACAGCCTCACCCACACAGCACTGCATCACGAGGTACTGAAGCGCCTGTGTGCTACACGTGTGTGCATTTTCACTGGTCAGGCTGGCAGCCACACATGGGTACACATGTGAGCGCTGGCTTATTGCGGCTCCAATCTCCTCTTAATGGTCCCCAAAACATGTCATAACTGCCTTCTCTCACACACACACACACACACGCATTGCATGCTCTCGGTCTTGGTATGTAAAAGGCCAAAGTTGGCCTTGGTTTTTCCAGTCCTGCCTGGAACACTCCCCTGGATGCGGCTCTGCCCTCATTACCTCCCCAACTTCTACCAGGCATACTGCGATTGTGCCTCTCAGGAAACAATAGCATGAACTTAGATGTGGATAATCGATTTGGCCTTTGAACCAGATGAAGATCTCTCCACGTTCCTTGGCAGCCTGTTCTGTAAGGTTCCCCAGGGGCTTCCAAGAGCCAGGACTGTCATCCTTTGTTAAGCGCTTCCTCTTGGCAGCCTCTGCCTTGAGCCTGTTATCTTGTCCTTCACAGCCGCTGACCTTACCTGACTCAGAAATGTCATCCCAGAATGGTGAGTCAAACTCGTAGTAGCCTTCCTTGATCTTCTCAAAAAGCTTAGACTCAGTTTCTTCATAGAAAGGAGGATACCCACATAACCTGCAGAAAACAGGAAGGAGGTAGGCTGCTGAACAGCCCTGTCCTCCTCGGGCTGGCTTCTCCCCTCTGCCCAGTGCCCACCACACACACAGGCAGGCAACCAGCAGTGTGAGCAGGACATAGACCTGCCTCTGATTCAGGAGCACCATGAGTCTCATCAGGTGATGATGCAGGAGCCATAGTTTGGAACAGCCAGTCCTGGAGGCTGACGGATGGGTACATGTTTTTTATATTTCCCCCAAACCCTTGCCACTTCTCCTTGCACTTCCTCTAACTCTTAGGTGATGTAGAAAATACCTTTAAGAAGGATGGCAGGAAGTCCAACTGAATGTAAATTTCTTAAGGGTTTTTTTTTAGGCTATTTTGTTCTTCATTCTTTAGCACATAAACCAGTGATTGGCAGAGAGTAGACAGTCCACAAATACTTGTACAAATGAATGAATGAGAGTAGTTGTTCATTATAAGTGGAGGAAATAGAGAACTGAATCCACACTAAGGGATAAATAACTAATAGCAGGTTATTTTCCTAAGAGCAAAAATGTGCTGTAGGTGAGGAGGGATGGTGGGGAAGGGGTGATGAGGAGGTTTGGCAAGCAGAGCCTGAGGATGTCTGGAGGGGAGCAGTGAGCAGGTTCATCCGGGCCATCATTCTGCCTTGAGCTGATGTTGCCAGGAGAAAAATCTGAGATGTGAACATTGGGCCCACTTGGTTTCCAGGCTTGGCGTGGTCTCTCTCCTTCCTGCTGCTCATTCCACAGAGTGGGATTCAACACATTTATACACTGTAAACGAGGCTGTACAGGAAGAGCAAGGACCCTGTGGCTGAACAGTGGGATCACACTGAGCTCTGGTTTTATAACCTGGTGGAGATCAAGACAGGAAACTTTGGAGCTGTGTGCATGAGTAAGAGTGTGTGTGTGCGCGCACACGTGTACACGCACGTGCTTTGAAGATAAATGCTGCCAGGGGAGCTGAGACGGAAGGGGAGAAGAAGGGGTGAGCAGGCTCTGAGATTTCTCAGGAACTGAGCCAATGCCAGCTTCTACTCACAGTATGTAAGTGATGACGCCAATGGACCAGCAATCCACAGCTTTGCTGTAGGGCTTCTGGGCCAGCACTTCCGGAGCTGCAGGAAACCAAAGACGGGGTCAGGGCTGGGGCAAGAGGACAGGACTAAGTGGGGAGGGCCGAAGGTGAGCAAGAGGCCTGGAGAAGAGGCCCGGGGCAAACCTGGGACCTGGTTGTGTCAGTGACACTGGAAGCTTTCCTAGGGCGGGACTCTCCCGTTAGACTTAATATTTCTCCATCAGCCTTCAAGGCCCCTGTAACAGTGCCTATGCATCCCCCATCAGACCGCAGATCTCCAGGGCTATGTCTCCGCCATCAGAATAAGTACGCTCTGAAGGCAGGGCCTATGTCTCCCCACTTAGCTGGCCGATCTCTGAGGCAGGGGCGAAATCTGCAAGGTAGGAGTTGTCTCTTTCCCACTGGATCGGAATTTCCTTGAAGGCAGAGACTGAGACACCCCTGTTAAAGTTAGGAGTTCCCAGAGGGCAGGTAGTAAATGTCCTATCCGTCTCTGAGGCCATTATCAGATGGAGAGCTCTATGAGGAAATGAGCCATGCCTTTCTCTGATTCGGAGCTCTGGGACAGCAGAGAGCTACCTTTTGTATTTATTTCAGATTCTAGGGTTTTGCAACCAATACCTGATGGTAAGTGACTGATCTCTCTTTGGGGGGTTGAGCAGATTCCTGCTACTGAGTCAGGGTTCTGCTTCCCACTTTCCAACCCCAACTAGGTGATGATTGACTAAGAGGGAAGGCGCAGGATGGGTGCTCTGAATTTTTACTTTCTCCCCTATGGATCTCAGGAATGCTTTCACAGTAACTTGCTGGCTTTTACTTTTCTTGGGTGCTTCGGAAGCCCCCAAGGGGCTTTAGTCAGGAGGCCTGACCTCTGCTAGCTTCCTAGTGTGTTTCCTTGGTATACATTTGGGTCTAGGTTCCTCAGATTCAAAGTCAACACTGTGCCCCCAGGAACTATCAACTGGGGGGCTGAGGTCTCCTCTACAGTGGGAGAAAAGAAAGGGGTGATAAGTGGTCAACCCCTCCACAATCTAATGATCTCTGGGTTTGTGATTTTATCTCTGCACCTGGTCTAGCTGAATAGACAAAGGCTGGAAGTCTGACTGCAAAAGTGACAGTCAGGTATAGACAGGGACCGTAGGAAGGGCTCGGGGTAGACTGTCTTTAAAGATACAGGATTTGGGAGCCATAGGGGGTAGTTTCAGAGACAAATGGAATCTACCCTAAACCTCATAAATGAATGTTCTACCTGGATTGCTCCTGAAGTTGAACCATATCTTCCCATAACCACCCTTTCTGTAAATAATATCCATGTGTTTGGATATAGTCAGCTGGTCAAACTCCCTCCCACTCCCGGGCTTACCCACATAGCCTGGGGTCCCACAGGCAGTGGACATGACCCCACTCTGTTCCATCTTGGACAGACCAAAGTCTGTGATCATGATCTTAGAATTCTCTTCAGGGGTGAGGTACAGCAGGTTTTCAGGCTGTGGAAGAGAAATATCATGTAGCATGTGGGATATAGTCATCTGAAACACACATTTGTTTTCTTCCCCATAATAAATAATTTCATAGAAAGCTGCACCCTGGGCTCCTGACTTCAAGGCCAGGCCCATTTCTTCCACTTATTTCCTCCTTCCTCCTTCTTGAACTCTTGCCTCCATATCCTAGCAATCCGTGTTTTGTTTATGCCCAACTTCGCTCAGCTTTACAGCTGTTAACCTACTAATCCACTCATCCCAACCACCTTAACACTAGGTTTTTTTTTGAGGAAACCAACTATTAATGATCTTTGATCTCTCTAAAGTCTGGTACACACATGACACAATGTTGACCCTCAGTAAGTATATATTACATTTGCTTTTGACTGTGGCTGGGTTCAAGACGTGTGGTTATCTTGCTATCCTAATAGGGTGAGGCCTAATGAAAAGTTCAAGAAAAGGTTGAGGTGCAAATTAACAATGATTGCTTGGTCATCTGTGATTTGTTTAAGGAATCTGAGGGCAGAAGGGGACTCAGGAGTCTATTAGTACAACCCTCTGCTTTACAGACCTTAGACTACCCATGACCCATGTAGTCTCCTGACGGGTCATTCTCTGTCCCACCAAGGAGTCCCACCTTGGTACCTTTAAGTCTCTGTGGACGATGCCATTCTCATGGAGGTATTTCACTGCTGACAAGACCTGCTGGATCACCAGGCTGGCATCCTTCTCTGTGTAGACACCCCGCTCCAGGATCCGGTCAAAGAGCTCCCCACCAGAAACACTGCGGGCACAGGGGCAAGTGCAGGAATCCAGTTCTTATTTCAGGTCAAAGGGACATGAATGTATTTGCTCTGCAGCCATGGACACAGCTGCGTCAGAATAGGCAGGTGCTCAGGGACTGCGCAGAGAGGACCCCTCCAAGCTCAGAATACCGCCTTTGCATGCTGGAGTGGTATCGCTAAGAAGTCATTTTTCTGGGCCAACCATTGACCACTCGCTGAAAACGTCCTTTAAAATGCAAAATGCCCCTGGTTAGGGTCTAGAAAGAAGCCAATAATCTCTTAGAGGGGACACATGTCTTAGCTGTCTTCTTCCCTGAATATGGTGAAGCTGAAATCAGGCAAAGTGAGGTGTTCAAGTAAGACTAAAAGTGCGCATGACATGATCTCTTTCCTTGTTTTGCAACACTGGGCTGTCTAAAGTGGGCATTATGGGGTGGAGGTATAGTGGCGTTTTAAGGCTCAAATGAAATGGAATGGTCAGGTTCAGAGGAGCATTAAGATGAGGCTGGCCCTCCTGCCTTGAATGCCATCTATACTATTTTGCCAAGAAGCTTTCTAGTCAGTACTGGAATAGCTTGGTGGCAAAGAACTCATGACTTCTTAAGACAGACTGCTTTATCTTGTGTCACCTTCTTAATATTTCTATAGTTATGATGGAAGTTGACTCCCTGTAGCTTCTACCGGCACATACCATTGGGGCCACCCAGAAAAAGAACACTGTCCTTTCCTATGAACCTTTTTGAGTATGTGAAGACAATGAGATGCCCTCCTGAGGCCTTCTTCTGGATCAGCACCCCTGACTACTTCAGCCATGAGCCCAGGTTTCTATTCTCTCTATCCCAGGTGTCCCCCCACGGTTCCATGACATTTGGGTGTGAATATGCACACAGGACGGGGCCATGCAGTAATGAGACAACAGAGCTCCCTCAATCAACATGCTCACCATCTACTCCTTTGGCTTCTGTCCTGAAGCTCTGGGCTCCACTCTAGGAGCTGCAGGTACATGAGAAAGCTACTCTACGTACACAGCTGTGAATTCCTGACTCAGACTGACCCGGGTCCTGGAGCTGGTCCTCTCTGAGGCCTGGCCGCTCTTCAGTGACATCTGAATCTGCCTACCTCCCCGCCTCACCTGGGCTGTCTGAATGGTGGTGGGAATTCTGTTGAATTGGCCGCGTGGTCCCTGTTGACTTGTTAGTGCCGCTCCGGGCACCCTCTACCTCACTCTCTTGACTTCCTAATAGTCACTGGGACTCAGGTGAGGCTAGGAGTTAATAGGCTGTTTAGGCTTGAGTCAGCTCATTAAAGTTTCTGGGGACTCAGCCCATCAGTCAATAACATGAATCCAGCCACAATACGATTACACAGTGATGTGTGTGTGCGCACTTGATAAACAGAAGCATCTCCCGGCCCAAGGCTGAGCCCTCAGGAGCACTGGCCGATCCCTGCAGCAGTCACTCTCAGGCAGAACTCTTGTTTATACATGACAATGATAAGGAAACCCTTCTAATGAGGTACCACTTCTGGTCCAGATGGGCACCCACAATTACAGCCTGTTTTTAAATATGGGAAAGTCTTGATCTTGCAATATATCTACCTGTCTTCTAATCCTACAGTGGTTTTACCCTGAAGTGATGTTAAAACATTTAATATCCACTTGGATGGACACAGACTGACTGGTCAAAATGGACTCAAGCTATGAGCCGGAAAAGGGTTCTGAGGCCTCCTGTTACACTAGGCATTACCCCTTCTATTATAGGGTTTTGTGTGTGTGTGTGTGTGTGTGTGTGTGTGTGTGTGTGTGTGTGCGCGCGCAGAAAGTCTGAGGGGAGAGGCTGGATAGCAGGGGAGGATGCAGGGATTGGGGTCACAGCTATTTGCTGGCTGGTAGTTAATATTTTAATGACGGGTAAGGCTGGACTGGTACATACCAACTCAATTATCAGCTCTAGCTTTACCCCTCCGTCCACATAGAACACGACCATGACCAGTGGCATATTGTATTTCACAGAACTCTTGGCATTTCAGGGCCTCTTGAACTAATCTTGATGTTGTCTTTTAATGACCATACTTCCCTCACCACTAACCAGCATCCTCTAGGCCACCCAGGCCCCGTGAGATGTCTGCGGAGGAAGTGGGTCACCTTTCACTTACAGCTGCATAACCAGGTAGTAGTGAGTAGAGCTCTCGTAGATGTCCTCCAGGGTCACAATGTTCTCATGCTTGATCCTGGGAAAAGTAAGGGTCATGGTGAAAGCCATGTGGTTTCGGTTGTCCGGACAGAGAATGCAGACCCAGGCCAACTGGACTTTTATTTCTTTTAGAGACTTTTGATGACCATGTTTAGGAAGATCATGCAGCTTTCCTACTGAGTAGGCAGCCCCAGTGAAATCCCGGGGGAAAGACCCCCAGAGTGGTGTTTAGTCCCAATTTTTTAATGGATAATTGATCATTTTGCCTACAGGGGACAAACATTTCCTTGTTACTCCAGGAATGTCACTAAACTTTACCAAGTAAAAGGTAAAGGAATGTTGACCCTCAGTAAGTATATATTACATTTGCTTTTGACTGTGGCTGGGTTCAAGACGTGTGGTTATCTTGCTATCCTAATAGGGTGAGGCCTAATGAAAAGTTCAAGAAAAGGTTGAGGTGCAAATTAACAATGATTGCTTGGTCATCTGTGATTTGTTTAAGGAATCTGAGGGCAGAAGGGGACTCAGGAGTCTATTAGTACAACCCTCTGCTTTACAGACCTTAGACTACCCATGACCCATGCAGTCTCCTGACGGGTCATTCTCTGTCCCACCAAGGAGTCCCACCTTGGTACCTTTAAGTCTCTGTGGACGATGCCATTCTCATGGAGGTATTTCACTGCTGACAAGACCTGCTGGATCACCAGGCTGGCATCCTTCTCTGTGTAGACACCCCGCTCCAGGATCCGGTCAAAGAGCTCCCCACCAGAAACACTGCGGGCACAGGGGCAAGTGCAGGAATCCAGTTCTTATTTCAGGTCAAAGGGACATGAATGTATTTGCTCTGCAGCCATGGACACAGCTGCGTCAGAATAGGCAGGTGCTCAGGGACTGCGCAGAGAGGACCCCTCCAAGCTCAGAATACCGCCTTTGCATGCTGGAGTGGTATCGCTAAGGAGTCATTTTTCTGGGCCAACCATTGACCACTCGCTGAAAACGTCCTTTAAAATGCAAAATGCCCCTGGTTAGGGTCTAGAAAGAAGCCAACAATCTCTTAGAGGGGACACATGTCTTAGCTGTCTTCTTCCCTGGCCTATGGCACAGGAAGGCATGCTAGAAACTGCATATGGTGAAGCTGAAATCAGGCAAAGTGAGGTGTTCAAGTAAGACTAAAAGTGCGCATGACATGATCTCTTTCCTTGTTTTGCAACACCGGGCTGTCTAAAGTGGGCATCATGGGGTGGAGGTATAGTGGCGTTTTAAGGCTCAAATGAAATGGAATGGTCAGGTTCAGAGGAGCATTAAGATGAGGCTGGCCCTCCTGCCTTGAATGCCATCTATACTATTTTGCCAAGAAGCTTTCTAGTCAGTACTGGAATAGCTTGGTGGCAAAGAACTCATGACTTCTTAAGACAGACTGCTTTATCTTGTGTCACCTTCTTAATATTTCTATAGTTATGATGGAAGTTGACTCCCTGTAGCTTCTACCGGCACATACCATTGGGGCCACCCAGAAAAAGAACATTGTCCTTTCCTATGAACCTTTTTGAGTATGTGAAGACAATGAGATGCCCTCCTGAGGCCTTCTCCTGGATCAGCACCCCTGACTACTTCAGCCATGAGCCCAGGTTTCTATTCTCTCTATCCCAGGTGTCCCCCCACGGTTCCATGACATTTGGGTGTGAATATGCACACAGGACGGGGCCATGCAGTAATGAGACAACAGAGCTCCTTCAATCAACATGCTCACCATCTACTCCTTTGGCTTCTGTCCTGAAGCTCTGGGCTCCACTCTAGGAGCTGCAGGTACATGAGAAAGCTACTCTACGTACACAGCTGTGAATTCCTGACTCAGACTGACCCAGGTCCTGGAGCTGGTCCTCTCTGAGGCCTGGCCGCTCTTCAGTGACATCTGAATCTGCCTACCTCCCCGCCTCACCTGGGCTGTCTGAATGGTGGTGGGAATTCTGTTGAATTGGCCGCGTGGTCCCTGTTGACTTGTTAGTGCCGCTCCGGGCACCCTCTACCTCACTCTCTTGACTTCCTAATAGTCACTGGGACTCAGGTGAGCCTAGGAGTTAATAGGCTGTTTAGGCTTGAGTCAGCTCATTAAAGTTTCTGAGGACTCAGCCCATCAGTCAATAACATGAATCCAGCCACAATACGATTACACAGTGATGTGTGTGTGCGCACTTGATAAACAGAAGCATCTCCCGGCCCAAGGCTGAGCCCTCAGGAGCACTGGCCGATCCCTGCAGCAGTCACTCTCAGGCAGAACTCTTGTTTATACATGACAATGATAAGGAAACCCTTCTAATGAGGTACCACTTCTGGTCCAGATGGGCACCCACAATTACAGCCTGTTTTTAAATATGGGAAAGTCTTGATCTTGCAATATATCTACCTGTCTTCTAATCCTACAGTGGTTTTACCCTGAAGTGATGTTAAAACATTTAATATCCACTTGGATGGACACAGACTGACTGGTCAAAATGGACTCAAGCTATGAGCCGGAAAAGGGTTCTGAGGCCTCCTGTTACACTAGGCATTACCCCTTCTATTATAGGGTTTTGTGTGTGTGTGTGTGTGTGTGTGTGTGTGTGTGTGTGTGTGTGTGCAGAAAGTCTGAGGGGAGAGGCTGGATAGCAGGGGAGGATGCAGGGATTGGGGTCACAGCTATTTGCTGGCTGGTAGTTAATATTTTAATGACGGGTAAGGCTGGACTGGTACATACCAACTCAATTATCAGCTCTAGCTTTACCCCTCCGTCCACATAGAACACGACCATGACCAGTGGCATATTGTATTTCACAGAACTCTTGGCATTTCAGGGCCTCTTGAACTAATCTTGATGTTGTCTTTTAATGACCATACTTCCCTCACCACTAACCAGCATCCTCTAGGCCACCCAGGCCCCGTGAGATGTCTGCGGAGGAAGTGGGTCACCTTTCACTTACAGCTGCATAACCAGGTAGTAGTGAGTAGAGCTCTCGTAGATGTCCTCCAGGGTCACAATGTTCTCATGCTTGATCCTGGGAAAAGTAAGGGTCATGGTGAAAGCCATGTGGTTTCGGTTGTCCGGACAGAGAATGCAGACCCAGGCCAACTGGACTTTTATTTCTTTTAGAGACTTTTGATGACCATGTTTAGGAAGATCATGCAGCTTTCCTACTGAGTAGGCAGCCCCAGTGAAATCCTGGGGGAAAGACCCCCAGAGTGGTGTTTAGTCCCAATTTTTTAATGGATAATTGATCATTTTGCCTACAGGGGACAAACATTTCCTTGTTACTCCAGGAATGTCACTAAACTTTACCAAGTAAAAGGTAAAGGAAATGAGGAAGGCCAAGGGAGTGCCCGAAACTAGATTCTTTCACACAATGGGTGCCCAGATCTCCTTCAGAAGCATTGCATGAAGAACATGGGCTGTAAGAGGAGGGATTTAGGGCTGATAAGTGTCCTCATGGATCACCATGGGGGAAGTGCCACAAAATCATTGTGCCAGGATATTGTGAGAAGCAGGACAGACGCTCATTTTCACCCAGGGCTATTGTGTCCCTCAGGGGACGTCTGGCAATATCTAGAGGCATTTTGGATCATCACGAGTAGGGAGGGAGCAGGTGCCATTGGCATCTAATGGGTAGAGGCAGGAATGCAGCGGAACAGCTTACACGGCACAGCATGGCCCCCAACCCAATAAAGAATCATCTGGTCTAAAATGGTAATAGCACTGTGGCCAGAAAACCTTGCTGTAGATGACCTCTGTCTAGGGTTACTCAGAGGAGAGTAATAGCACAGTGACGCGGAATAACTGTAATAGCTGGGGGGCTTCGCTTCCCATTCTTCCCAGGCAGCATTTCTGTGCATATCTGTCCAGCAGGAAAATTTCTAGATGTTTTAATCATGGCTGTGCAGCACATGGGTTAAGAACTTAGACTCTAAGTCGGTTGGGTCTGAGTTTAGATCCAGCTCGGCACTAATGGTGGTAACTGGCTGGCTTACTCAAATCTAAGCCTCACTTTCTATGTGCATCTCTCACAAAGGGTTATATTGGGGTTAAAAGAGATAATGCATGTAAAATGCCTAGTACAGTGCTTGGGGAACAGTAAATACGTAACCAATAATAGCTGTCATTCTTAAGGTATTTCTAAAAATATAGACCTCTTACAATGGTTACTTGATGGATTCAACTACATTTGTAAGCTGACAATACTAAGATGAACTTATCAATGGTTTACTCACTGAACACATGTTTATTGAGCACCTATGCTGTGTGGGGCAGATGGTACAATGCAATAAGAAAGATGACCCTACTCCTTGCTCTCATTGACATTATTTATCATGCGGTCCAAGACCCCTTTTAATAAGGTCTCCCTTGACCATTTGAATTTCATCTCCTGTCCCTTGACGGTATACACGCCGAGTTCCGGGACTCCCAATACTAACTCTGCCCTAGCATCTTTTGCACTTTCATGATTTTATGTTAAAACTTACACTACTCTTGACCTGAATTGCCTTTCAGCACTGCCCTTCCTACCTGCACAAAATTCTACTCATCCATCAAGGTCCCTCTTCTTAGAAAATGTACCTAATACTCCATATTCACAAAAACACATGTGTAGACAAAATGAATCTGTTTCCTTCAAACTTTGCCTTCGGCTAGTGTGGCTCACATGCAGTGGGATTAGAGTTTGTGGCTGCCACCTCTGTCTCTGCCCATAACATGTGAGTTCCTGAGGGTGAGGGATTTCCTTGGCCTCATCCTCGTGGCACTGATGGCTGTTACACTTCGGGCACACCACAGTGGTTCCACAAGGCTGTATTGTTTGAGTTCTGCTGTAAACATTTGATGCTTTGTTAGTGTGGACTCAATCATGATGGTTGGGAAGCTGAACCTACAGTTGTTTTGGTCCAAATTGAGAATAATTTCCAAATCGTATGCTGCTTGCTTAACTTTTAATTCTTCCTGGTATTGGCCGTCCATCAATTCTTGCTGCCTTAAGCTCACTACTCTCCAGTCTGTGTGCACAAACCAGATGCTGCCGCCAGTTGGTTCTCTAGTCATTGAGCTGGAAAAAAGATCAGCCAAGACAGCTGTCTGTCCAAACTTAGCTGATTGATCACACTGACCCAAACTGACCCACCAACTCAATCAAAGACAGTATGTAAACTTTCGAATATGGAAATCCAGCCCCAGTCCTTCTCGAAGGTAATCTGGGAAGGAAATGTTTTGATCCCAACCCACCCTAAGAGCCACTCACTTTTTCAACACAGCAATCTCATTCTCGAGACTGCTGTCCCGGAAGGCAGGGGACTTCTTGATGCACTTCAGGGCAAAGAGCTTCCCAGTCACCCTTTGCTTCACCAGGAAAACTTCTGAAAAAGCTCCCCTGAATAAAAGATATGAAAAGATAAACATGACAGTACTGATTTGGCTAGCGAACATTGCTGGAGACAAAACCAGAGGGTAGATGATAGAAGGTGTGGCTTGTTAGTTTCCACAGTCATGATGGGCACCTGACCGGCTGTACTGACAGCAGACCCTATCTGACATGCCCCTGTGTCCTTTCTCTCATCTATCACATAGGAAAGAAACGATTTGACTATAGACCCAGGGACTAGGTGGGTTCTATTTCTGGTTCCGTAATTTGGGAAGGACTCCCAGAGACTCTGCTTTGGCTACAGAGATTTCTCCACTTGGCAAATCCATTAAAGAGAGGGCTCTGCAGAGTTCATTTGCTTCACTACTTTCAATATGGTGAAGTACGGCACACCAGAGTGGCTGTCGGAGGGAGCCCTGGGGGACAGCACTCAGACACAGTAGGGGAGAAAAGACCCCTGTATCAGTTTTAGAGGGTGATAATGACCCTGACCCAACTGTCAGAGGCAAGAGGGCTCTGCACCCTCTCATTCTGTAGGATCTGCCAGGGCAAAAGGCAGAACCCAGAAGCTCTGGGCAGGTTTTCTGAAGATGGAGAGGATTGAGCCCAGTAGGGACACAGAGTAGGACTGTGAATTACAGGCTTCTCGGTTTGAAGAGGGGTCCTCTGGAGACCAGATTATCAGAATGGGGATGAACTAGTGGGTGGTGGAGCTAGATTGTCCATGTTAGAACCTCAGCTTTTTGGGTGATAAGTTGCTTAACTTCTGCATATCCAGTTTCTTCATATGAAAAGTGAAATGTCAGTAGTATCTGATTCATAGGGTTGTACAGAAGATTAAATGAGTTAATGTACATAAAAGGCTTAAAAGCATTCCTGACATCTATTAAATTAGATACTATTGCTGGTTTTATTACTATTACTGTTTGGATATCATTAGGGAGAACCCTTGGTAGTAACAGGAGATAGAGTTTAAGTGAGGAAACAGCTGAGCCGTCCTCTCTCCCCTGCCATCTGGGCTCTAGAATGAAGAGTCAAGCTGGTGTAAGGACTCTGAGAATCTGCATTAGAAAACAGTCGCTGTTTCCTGTGGCTGAGTCTCGTGTTTCCCCCAGCTGCACTTGAAACTGAGTTAATCAGAGCCTTCAGAGCTTGCTCTATTCATTCACCCAGCCCTTCAATCAAGATTTATTGAGCACCTACTGAGTCTTAGACACTGGAGATGAAAAGGTAAGTGTTTCTGCTCTTAAGGAGCCGGTAGACTAGTGAAGAACACAGACAAATGAGCAATTAACATTTGATTTGAAAAATGTTCCTAGGCATTCAGTGAGTGCTTGTTTGGCTAACAGAACCTCTCTGTGTCAGGTACTTGGATTAATACTGGTCTAGCTTAGCATCTAGTGTGAGTGACAGACCCATACAGATAACCAGTGGGTATTAGGGGGCCACAGACAATGAACACTTAAGACAGGACCTTTGCTACGGTTGGGCAGGTTGGATACTGTACAACTTCAGCAGATGCCATTCACCTTGGAGACACTGGGACACTTTCATATGGTTAATTATTATGTTTTTCCCTGCAGACAGCAGGCTAAAGGAAAGGGCTCATTTTTCCTAATGTGGACCAAGTGACCAATTGCGGTGGCTGAGGAGCACATAAATATCGCCCTCTGACTGGAGAGCACCCTGAGTTCAGTTTTAAGGGAGGGATGAGAGGTAGCCCATTGGAAAAACAAGTTGGAAGTGATGTTTCAGGTGCGGGTAGGAAAGAAGCATGAACAAAAGCCTGGAGGTGCCGAGCAGGAGGTAGGGGTGGGCTGCCCGCGGGTAGTCCAGTACTGTGTGTAAAGCATGGAGCAGGGAATGAAGGGAGGAGGGGGAGGGTGGTGCCAGGTTCTATGCCTGGTTACATATGGAAAATGCCCTATGGCATCGGCGTGATGGATGCATGGGCCGATGGGTGGGCGGATGTGTGAGGACTCTGGGTTGGGATTCCTTATATGTTCTACTGGTCTCTAGACACCGCTTTCTTTATCACAAAATCAGAGCATTGAACCACATAGCCTTAAAGATTCCTTTAAGACTCTAGGATCCACATGGCAGGCTCCACTTCCAGAGTGCTCCCTTTCCCACCATTAGAATCATACATGGACGGCCCCCTGACTTCAAAGCTGCCATCCACTCCGGGTCCTCTTGTGGAAGGAGATCAGATGAAAGCCTTCCTTGGGGTACTGTGTACAGTGAAATGTACGTAAATGGCACCTAATGGAGTTGTGCAATGCTGTGGCAGATCGAAATGGCGTAACTGCTGTTCTGCTCATGCTGTTTTATACTGTGTGTGTGTGTGTGTGTGTGCGTGTGTGTCTGTGGTGTGTGTGGCAGGGGCAGGGAGAGGGATTACAGGACTTAATTGTGCCATCTGTGAGACTGGGGAGCAGAGAGCTAGATTTAAGCAGCCAGGGCTGCTCAGGTCAGAAGGCAGACAAGCAGAGCCTTCAGGGCCAGAAGTACCTGCTGCAATAGTACTTTTGGGGTGCATTTCCTGCTCTGAATATCTTTCCACTCTTGCTGGGAGCCTGGGTGGTGAAGGACATGGTGGAGGAGACAGGGAGAAAAATATCTTCCTGGACAGTGAAAGGAAGAGACCTGGCACTTGGGTGACAATGCCCTCCGCTCTGGACTAGCTTTGCCTAATGTCCTTGTGGCTGCCTGAAGGCCCTGGCATTGTGGGTGGCATCTGGGAAGATGTAGCAAACACCTATTCCCCCTGATGGGTTGTTCCAGGCAGCTGAGAACTGAAGAGAAGGGGCCTCTGTCGTAGGGCTCTGCTGCATCCTGACAGTGAGTCTGCTCTGCCCAGCTTCTCCCTGTCCCACAGCCCCTCACCTTGTACTGCGTGGGGTCTGCAGCCTGTGGCTGCCTGTCCCCTCTCTGAGCACCACAGAGATGCCTTCTCTTTAGCTCCTGCTCAGCCCTAACTGCTGCGACAACTGTGGCTTGCCCCTGCCTTGTCCTCTCTGCCCCAGCCCCCTCCAAACCAGTGCATGGGCTGGATGCATAAGAGCCGCCAGAGGAACTACAAATATAGGTGGTTGGCTATTGGGTCATATTTCCCCAAATCCCAATTTGGTAAGTTTGGGACCAAGAATCTGTAATTTTCAAAAATTAGCTAGGCTAAAATGACCTTAGGGAGTTATTATTAATTTTCCTGAATGTGACAATGACATTGTGGATATAGAAGAAAACACATTTATTCTCAGGAGATGCAGACAGAAGGATTCAGAGGTGATGTGTCATGATGTCTGCGACCTGTTTACCAACTGTTTCAAGATGTCAATATTTATGTGTGGGTGTATCTAAAACAAATATAGTGAAATGTTAACACTTTTTGAATTTAGGTGGTAGGTATATTGGTGCTCACTGTACTATTATTTGCCTTTTCTTTCCTTTAACATTTTCACAGTTGAAAGTTAGGGGATAAGCCCCCAGGTGACTCTAATGTCCCCTGAGCTTTCTGCTGTGACAGACTTCACTAAGCTCCATGAGCACAGCGGTGTCTGCTTCTAACAGCCAATCATTTCTGAGCCACTCAAACACCCACCTCTAGCCGCCCCTGTCTCGACCAAGTCCCTTGATTGAGGGCCAGCACACTGATGACCGGCACCACCGCTGAGATGTGCACAGGGGCTGACGCCTGCCTGGGCAGGAAGGGCTCAGAGGCCTCCTGTCAGGGCCAAGCCTGGCTCCTTTCATCTCTAGGGAGTGTGGCCAAGCTTCATTGTTACTGCCCGAGGTCACTGCCTCCCAGCCATGGCACAGGAAGCCGAACTTAGCCAGAATTGGCTAAAGGGAAAGCTTGATTTGATGGACAGCCCACTACCAGCCCCTCACTTCCTGGGGCCCAATTAGCTCAGACTAATGAGCCGGCCAGCTGGGGTTCTGAGGCTGTGGGAGCCAGGGGCCTGGGGCTGCTGCTGGCCTGCGTCAGCGCCTGCCGCCTCCCGGAGAGGCAGGACGAGGCGGAGAGTCAGCCCCAGACAAGCTGTCTCTGCTCCTCGAGCCGTGCAATCGCAGGCACAGACACGCTGGAGGGTGCTAGGAGTTTGGGTGATGGGGTGACTTTATTTTTCCAACATCGCACTTAAAGAGGGAACAGAGAGGATGCTGGTGGCGGGGAGCTGATTCGGGGGTGTGCATCCCTTCAGATCTCTGAGGCTTGGGAGCCCCTTCTCTTCTGTCTGCCACAGACAGTGGGGTTGACTTGTCCACTGCTGGGGGAAACGAGGACGCTGGGTGAGGAGGCCCAGGAAAGTTCTAGGGTCATAGAATCTCCGGATGTGCCCCAGAACTCCTCATTCCTGCCACCAGGGTAAGAACTCACAGGGTGTCACAGAATGGACGCGGGGCAGGGTCCCTGGGTGGGGGTGGGGGTTCAGGAGGTAGGACCTCGGGGAAGGACTGGTATCCCTGAGGGTTCCAGAATATTAACTCATCCTCTGCATTACCCTAAATACCCACCCCTCCTCTTCCCCTGAGGCCCTTACTCCACCTGCCTGGGTCTCTTAGAGCTGCTGAGATGGTGTCACAGCAGCCTCAGGCCCAGTCTGTCTGTCCCTGCTGGCTCGGAACAGCTCTTGGCCGGCTCCCCAGAGAACTAACTCCCTGCCGCCCAGCTCGGCCCCGGGACTCACGATCCTAGCACTTCCATGAAGGTGAAGGTGGTCCTGATGTTGGTGGTCTGCTTCTTCCAGGAACTGCAGTCATCTTCTTCCTTCCGCCCCATCGCCTCCAGAGTTGAAGCTTTCGGGGAAGCTTTGTGTGAGGAGCGGAAGAGAGGGTCTGATCAGCCGGTTTCCCAAGTTAGAGGCGAGCAAGTTGCAACAAGAACTAAAAGGCTCACCTCTCTCATGTAAGGACTGGAAGGAAGGGTAAGGAGCAAAACCTGGATAATTGGCGAAAATAAGACTATTCTCCCCACTTGTGAAATTACTGCAGTGAAGGCAATTGGACATCTACCACATGCCCACGGTGTTGGCTGTATGCTCGGGAGTTTAGAGTCTAGTACTGCAAGTTCTGCCTTGTATGTATGTATTCAAGGGCAACAGCACACGTATAGATGAACATGGGAATATCCACCTTGCGGGGACCTGAGCAGAGCTGAGATGTTTCTTGCTTTACCAGGTGATTGCCAGGTTTATTCAAACTATCCTTTCAGCCTGACTTCCTATTGTCACCTAGTGTATCAGCTCTGCCACCTCCCCCAACCCTTCCTTCCCCTGCCTCTCCCCTACATGCTGCGGGTTGAATGAATGGACGTTAGATGAACGAGCTTTGTGTCTTATCCTCTGTAACTCCCACATCATTTAGCACAGTGCTGGGAAAACAGTTATTCATCAAGATGTGATTGGCATCATGTCCTAGCTCTCTCTCAGAGTTCTGCAGGTACCGTATTCATTCCACTGAGTCAACACCTATGATATGGTAGGTGATGGGTATGTACTGATGGACACACAGGTGATGGTCTGTCGTCCTGGGACTGGAGGAGCCAGGCAATGAGCAGGTAAAGTAATGTGAACAGTGATGAAATGGGGGAAAACCATGCACGGATCAAACCTCAGATAAAGTCAGGGGAGGCATCTTTGAGCAGGTCATCTCTATCTGGTTTCAGAAGTTTTTGAAGAGCCAGCCAAGCATAGGGGGTATGAAGGAGTGTTTCGGAGGAAGGAATAAGATACACAAACCCCAGGCAGGGAAAGAGCCTGAAGGGACTGGAGGGACGGTGGGCTGGGGCAGGTGAACTCTGCATGGCACGGGGTGGTACATGGGCAGGAAAAGGGGGTGAAGAAAGGTGGTATGAAAGGTCTTATAGACCTTATAGACTCCATTAGACATACTGGATTTTCTTCTAAGTGAGACTGAAAACATTGAAGGGTTTTTAACAGAGGAGTTAAATTACTCCATACATGTTTTAAAGATCTTACTCTAGCTGCTCTGTGGAGAATGGAGTGGAGGAGGCCAGAGCTGATACATGGAAAATAGGGATGGGGCAAACATCTAGGAGAGAGGTGGTGGTGCCTGGACCATGGTGACAGGGGCGGTGAGAAGTGTGGGGCAGTGGGCTGTATTCTGGGGTCCAGTCATCAGCAACACTAATGATGTGTCTGTGGTGTGGTGAGGAGTCTAGGCTGACTGCCATGTTGCGGGTAGGAGCATGTGGGGGTAACGGTGCCCTTACTGTTACTGTGGCTGTGAGTACTAGAGAGAAGCATGTCCATGGGGTGGCTGGGGGGACTTTCTGTCCTTTGGACACTCTGCCTTAGCTAGCCTACTACAAGCAGATGGCAGGGTCCTGAGGGTCTGGGGTGGTGGGTGAGATACCAGTTTGCCAACATCTTCTCCCCCATACAGCTTGAACCTAACAGGGAAGTAGGAAAATATGTCTAATGACCACTCCTCTTAGGCAATGCCTCGCCTTCTCCATTAAAAACATGCCCGGAGAATCCATGGGGTCTTCTGACAGCTTTGGAACAAAGACAAAGTTTGAGTCTCCACAATTTAGCAAAGAAAGTAGGTCTGGAGGTCAATCTGAGTTTAAATCCTACCTCTGCTAGTCACTATTTCAATAGCCTTAGGCGATTTACTAATCTCTGACTCTATTAACTCATCCACAATATGGGGCAAAGCCCCTTAGTTACAGTGAAGATTAAATGAACTAGTGTATGTAGAGACTTAGCACATTGTCTCATACATATTGAACAGTTGTGAAGAGAGACAGTTTGGAAGCTATTAAATTGGTGTATTGTCATTCCTGGTAATCCCTACCTGGTGGATTCATGCCATTAAGTAGGTCCTATAGTACAGAGGGAAACCTCTTCTGCCATTAGGACACAACTATGAGGCTTAAGACCCAGAAGAAAATGATATAAGTGGGGTCCTTGCTAGAGAGGAAGAGGCCTGGAAAGATGGACACAGGGGATCCTGGGAAGGGGATGAAGAGGCAGGCAGTGGTGTCATTGTCAGAAGCGCACATCTTGCCTGTCACCCTCTTGGAGAAGGACACCCATCCAGGAATGGGGAGATCGGTGGCATGGGTGGGTGGGCTTCCTGGAACCTTGCTGGCTGGATACTGTAAACCTAGGGGGATCTCTGATTGCAGCCACATGTAATAGGTAAGCATGGGGCAGGCCTAGAGGGAGAAGGTGAGTGAAACAGTGATGTGTGACCTGCATGGACCCTGGAAAGTCCCTAGGGCCTGTGGCTGTCGGGCTGTGCCAGCCAACTGCACGTCTCTCCTGGCTCCATGTTAAGGGTCTTGTGTTGTTAGCTTGGAATTGGTCAGAATGGGAGTATTTATACCATGGAAACAAGCATATACTATAGTCAGAACTTCTCCTCCCACCTTATGCCAACCTCCAAGAACCAGTTATTAAACATTTATCATCACATCTCTCCCCATGGCCCTGGTTACCTGGGGTCTGAAACAAGAAAGATATAATCAGGGCTCCTCAGGTGGAAGCAAATGGCTGGAATCCAGGCTGTCAGTGGAGGGTGTTAGCTTGACACCCCACAGGCCAGATGGGAACAGTCATACCTCAGAGGGCACTAGTCAGCCTCTGGCGAAATCCCAGAGAACTGGGATCCCAGGTGCCTGGTAAGTCTGAGGCTCCCTTCTCCCACGCCACAACCAGGTCAAATCAGTACCTGATGACATAAAATGCCACCTCGAAGTAGAGCAAGAGGAAAGCCTCTCTCAAGACTGTGTATTTTCCTAAAAGAGACCAAGTCAGTTAAGTGAGATTCTTCAACCTGAGATGCTATAATGGACAAGTTCATATGTAAAGTTCCTCATTTCCCTTTTTGCTGCCTGATGGGGTGGGAGTTCCTGAGAAGGATTTTATAGGAAATAAAGAAGCTGAATTTTTTTGGTACAGTCCAGCATGGTGTATAAGTTTCTAACCTGGCTATATCATAATGGCAATTGCTATGAAAAATGCATGAGAGAAATATTAAGAATTCCGTAGCATTTGGTACAGCCCAATGTAGACCTGCTGACTTGGGCTTGTATCCTCAGGCCCATTTGTTTTCTCCTCTTGTCGGGGCAGCAGCCCAGAGGGACGTTGGCATTTCAGAGCTGGGCACTGGCCGGAGGGGGATTCGCCAGCAGTGCGGTAGTGGGCTGAGCCTTGACTTGGCATCGTCTACAAGACGGAGACAAATGAAAGCCCGGAGATTGCTTTGGGGAAGATGAAATCTTGGAATAGAGGGCTGTCTTAAGCCAGATTTCACTCTGCATTTCTGAGCCCAAATCTAGTGGCTTCTACTTATCAGAGTGGTTGGCATCTGGCTGGCCCAAGTGCTTCCTACTGTATAGACACGCAGCTGTACAGACGGAGTCCTGAAAAGGGCAGGGCAGGAGGATGAAGGGGCAGATGCTAAAAGGAGCCACATCAACAGGGCCCGTTTGGGTGCCTCCCTGTGTCTCTCCTGCCCATCGAACAACAGGGCTGCAGACGCTGCTTTCCAGGGAAGGGCCAACCTAGGGCCTTCTCTGCAGCTCAGGTCAGCCTAGCTGGGCATTCATCACCGGCCCTGCTGGAGCCCCAGCACGATGATGGGTTGCTCTCCAGGAGGCACCACCACCTCATTAGCAGATCTGTACTCACTGTTCCTTCTTTCCCGTCTCTCTTAAATAGCTTAAAAACATAGTATTCTTAGCCTAAGCTAGGCTGTAAGAAAACATCTTTCCCGCCCACCCCTCCTCCCATACACTCCATCCTAACAACTTAGTTCTATCTTCAGAGCAATGTGGAACACTCAGGGGCCCAGACCCTGACACCCCTGCTTCATTCCCACTCGTTGCTGCCCAGGCTGGTGGGGGTCCAAGAGTGGGCTCTGAGAGGGGCAGCCCATATTCCACTGCTATATCCTGCTTCTTGTGCTAAAGCCCGCCCCCTTTTCTCCTGACTTCCGTCATCTAGGTCCTTGCAGAGGAAAATAAGAGGAATTCTGAGAAGGCTGAAGCTCCAACATTGCTCTCATTTGTTTCCACCTTTCACTCTATTTTAGGCAACAACTTCCAGAGGGCTTCAAGCTCTGACATAGCCACTGTAGATCTCTCTGAGATTTAGAGCAGGGCTCACATGTGTGGCCCAGGAGATGCCATGGATGTGAGCATTCATGGCTGGTTCAAAACCCCCACTCCTCAATAGGGCAAGACCCACAAGAATATTCTGCAAAAAATGACTCCTGGCAAAGGAAATGACCTTATTTATAGGACCATCTTTGAACTGGGGAGGTAACACCCTTCCATTCAATAAGCATTTATTGAGTACCTCCTGGGTACCCACTGGACTAAATATAGACATTCCTATGATGGGAGGCTACCCCTCAAAGTACTTACAATCAAGTTAGAAAGACCAAGCATAGGTATATAAACAAACAACTAAAAATAGACCAGTCGTTTGCTTACATCCTGTTCCCCTCACCAGACTGCAGGTGTTTGGAGGACAGGGGCTGTGCACTACCCATCTTGGAATCCCTAGTACCTTGCCCTGAGCCAGGCACATATGAAGGGTCCAGCCTGTGTTAGTTAAATGAGTCAGTGAGGAGAAGAGCCCTGGGGGGTGAGTTGATCAGGGAAGGCTTTGCAGCAGAGCAGGGCTGGAGATGGGTATGGAGAGGCAGGGGCTGTGCTCTTTATATTGTTCCACAGGGGAACCTGCAGTAGGCAGACCTGCACCCTGGGAAGGGAAGGCAGGAGGGCCCCCTCTCCAGAGGCCCTGCTGTGAGGCTGTGCCTAGGGTATGGCAGCA